TACCAGTTTGTCGTTCAAGGTTGAAGCTCTTCTAAAGCTGATTACTGAAGAGGTCAGAATGCCTAACAAACATGACTTTTAATACCAATGTCAACTTATTGTCATTTGACAGACTGCTGCCTTTACATTTGGGACTGTCGGTTGTTAAATTGTCTGGTGGGGTAGTAAGGGGTGAAGAGAAACAACCCGGCTTGGCCAGAAATTCAGTCTTGGTGTGAGAACTTCTAGTGAACTGGACAGTTTCTTGGCGAGTGACTAGCGTTAGCTGAAATTAGCTTTAGTAGCAATGACCTTTGACATTGTATGTGTCCTCCAAATCAGTGCTGTTCCATGATTTATTTTGTCTGGCGTTGTAGAGGCTGCTGAAGAAACGAGCTGTGGGAATTTATAGGCTTCCACATCCCATCCTGAACTTTTGTCTTATCTTGAAGGCGGGGGCATGCTTAGTGTACAAAGTGTTGTTCCAAGCCATGTCTAAAGGGAAAAAAGTGTTTAAAATAGCACTTCTTCACGGCCAAGCTTGTAAGTAAAGAGGAGATGTTTGAATTTTGATAACAGCAAATACTTTAGGATAGTTTCTGCTTCAGGGCGATCACAGTGTTACCCTTGGTTTTATAACCTGATAAGTAACAGAAGTAGATTTGTGAAGAACTTAAAGCCCCTATGAGGAGTTTTTATCTGGTCAGGTTAAAGACTGAAATTAATACTGATAACTCTATATGACCTTCAAAAGCCAACAAGACTGTCAGTGACCATTTTGACAATTTCCATGGTTTAATTTTGAATTGCCTCTAATCACTGCCACTGGGTCAGGAAAATGTACAGAAATGGCCTTTTTCTTACATTTTCACAGCAACTTTTTATAATGAGTGAGCCATTTGACTTTAGAAACAAAGATTTCTACTACCAAGACATGTGCAGAAGAAGATCTGCTAAGAGATAAATGCCACCACTTTGTCCACAGGAGGCGCCAAAATCAACATAACCTGAAAATTCCTCACAGGAGCTTTCAGAAAATCTTGAAGAAAGAAGTTCAAACTAAGCTCACTTTCTTAAGATAGCTTGCTAATCGCATCATGAGGGGTTTTGTTGTTGGTTTCTGAAAGTTAAAAGGTTGAATATGTGTCCAGGAAGATGTTTCATATGTTGTTTAATTATTTGAAAAGTGCTTAAATTGAATCATACTGATTCCTTAACCAGAAATATTTTGCATACCAAACAACACAGAATAGCGCCTAAGTAATAGTGGTTACTCTTTACATCATGTTCTGCCCTCTGAGACCAACTCAGAAAGATTTCAGGGTCAGGAGTTAAAACGTGTGAAAACAGCTTCATTGCTCAAATATATTGTTGAAAGCTGCTATAGTGGATTCAAGAGGAAGTCTCTGACTTCTTATTGGTTGGAAGGTTTTCATCACGTCTTACTCTGAGACACATTATGCCGCTTGTTTTTGGCTGCTCAACACAGCTTTATAAATATCAGTCAATAAAAGCGGCTTTAGCCTCTGAAGGAATGATGTTCACATAGTGTGACCTACGTTATTATGTATATATTTGAACACCATCCAACCATCAGAGGTCTTTGGCTGCTGTGCAAAAGTGTTAGCGTCACAGACAGTTTGTAGTCAAATGCTCATAAAGATCAAAGGACGCCAAAGCCAATTTTTACGACCAGAGACCAACTTGACTTGACAAATGATGCTAAACAAATATAATCCAGAGCTACCAAGGAAAGGAAAGGCATGTTTAAAGAGTGCCATTCATACAAAGAGCAACTCAAAGTGCTTTACACAGTTAAAAATCTGTGCATTTAAAATAAAAATGAGACAATATACAGAACGTATTACAGTGAAAGGCCAACAACCATTGATTTTACCACCTTTCATTTGTTGAATGCAAACAACACTCCTTCTTAGGCTTATGTCGTCCCCAAAAGGCGTCCTAACACAAAAAAACATTAGAAATGCCTTTTTAAGTCAACTTGCCAGTTGCACTAATTTGTTTGTGTATAGCGCCTCAAACCCAATAAGTTATTTCCATATAACCACTCAGTAAGTAGCCTATTTAGAGCTTGATTTAGACCTTTTAATTGAACTACTGTCCTTGTCCCACTTCAAGTGCTGAATCGATTAATTGACAGACAAAAATTGCCAAATAGTATCTGACTCTACTACAGAAGGTAGATATGACCCCTTTCAACTTGTTACATTTGGACCTTTTTATGGTTTACCTTGTGAATAAGTTAACTAGCCGCAAACATGTTGTATGTCGAACACTGAACACATGGACACATTTACAGCTTTGTACATTTGGGTTTACTCTTAGCTTAACTGTTGGTACAAATGTGATGGATGTAATCCCTTTAGCTTATGGTGATATCCAAAGGCAGACATTGACGCGCCTACTGCTATGCTACACATTTACACTCTTCAACTTCCTGGTCAAAGTGCAGGGACTGTTGAGAATGCACAGAGCACCTAGTCCAGTTTGAGTCCAATCAAGCCTTATTGATGTAAATCCACCCCCAACCATGTTTTCTGAGTTTGATAGTTGGACTTCAAGAAATTTGACGAGTATGATTTCCAGTCCAACTAATTTGTTTACATGCATCTTAAAAATCCAGTTTTAGTCGGACTAATCCAATGAATTGGCGTTGTCCATCTGCATGTAAACATACTGATTAATCCTTGAACTCTACCAGAATCAGTTCTGTTATGTTTCATTCATTGCCACTTGAAGTTATACCAGGTTTAAGAGAATACAGTGCAGCAGAAAACCTGAGGAGAACAAAAATAAAGAGTTTTCTGAGGGTGATGTAGGTTTTTTTTTTCTTTCCTGCTCCCCATCTGATGCCTCAGGCCATTCTCTCACAATCTACCCTTTGGCTTGGCTTCACTGATGCTGCTCCCCTTCTTTGCCCAAACACGGTTACAAGTGCTGAAACGTAACAGATAGACACCAAACAAAGAGAACTGAAAGCTGTCCCTTTTTTTTTTTTTTTTTTTACAAAATTGTGACTCTATGGAGGAACACAGAAGTATAGAAAGCACCAATGCTATGACCATTAGCCTGCAGCATCCAGATCTGGGAAGTTCCCCAAGTGTGACGGTCTTGACTAACACTGTGCCATCTACCGTACTCACTTCCTTTTTTGTAACCATGGTAGCCGCGCTGAGTTGTGAGAAAACAGCGACAGATTGTGTGTGAAGGATAGTGCGCCATGTGATGCAGGATACGTGAGACCTCAGTCATTTATCAGGAACAACCCCTGACACCCCAGTGTACTCATACTGACGTTTGACATCGGAATAAACTGTGGCACTTGGCACAATACAAGCTCCTGCGGAGCAATAAGAAAAGTTTATTGCTAATTTCCAACAGCACTTAGATTACTTAAAAACATATAAGGGTGTGAGCTCTACATTTTCTTATCAGAATATTGACTCAGTTTAATTTGAGTCTCATAAAATCTCACTTAAGAACATTTTTTTAAATGTACTTACTTTTGCAATAAACGTTTGGCTCATACAAACCAAAGACTTGCATGTTTGTGTATTTTGTTGCTGATCTTTTGTCCCCAAAATAAAAAGTTAAGACAGGTTTTTTTTTTTCTTCTTGAAACACCAGAAAAAAAATGGTTTTGTGTTATTTGTGGTCTGGACTTTAAAATGCAAATAGAGCAGTGACCACCAACTTTTTACATTTTCCCCATACAATCCTCCATTGACATTTCAGAAAACCCTATTTTGGATATTTTATATCTTGGAACCAAACAATCCAACTAACCAAATACTCGTGACGACTAAACATTTGACACGTACAAAAGTTAGAAAAACTGAGAAAAAGTCAGTCAATTTTTTTTTTCCTGAAGTTAAGGAACTACACATCCCACAATCCATTGGGATACCAAGAGCCAAACAACGATAGTGTGCTTCTTTCTTAAAATACACAGAACATCTTTCTACATTTGTTTGCTGAAGTTCACGAAGGCAGTAATCGTTTTCCATGGTAACAGCAGGCTCCCCCATTTAGAGACTTCACTGTGGCACTCTAGGATTGTGGGTAGTGTAGTCATTTTTCCCCAAGATTGCAAATAAACGACTTTTGTCTTATATATTTTTCCACACAGAATAATTATAATGTGCGCACAAGGTTGATTTTTTTTCCACTTTTCTGGACTTCAAGGGCTCTGTACTTTTTGATTAAATGTTTTGAGGACATAAAACAATTCTTTATAATGTAATTTAAGGCATACCCTTAACTTTGAATTAATGTAATTAAGGAGTGTGTTGTTGTTTTCTTGGCAATACACATTGTGAACTTTCCCCAGAGAAATAACTCTTACAGGTTATTTCCCAAAGTACAGCAGTTGTGTATCTCTGCCATCATTGTCTTTAGATGATGAGATTATTCCCCTAACAAGGCAGCACATTCAGGCTGATCTGTTACGCCTCAGGTTGTCTGATGACTCCACTGTTGTCGTTTAAGCCCCTGAGTTATTATTAGCTGCCTCTGTACTCCTTTTTAAGGCGCTATCCTGCAGAATAAGGCCATTTACAGAACTGAGTGGGATCAAGGGTTACTGCAGGGTTACTTTTTTCCAGTTTGGTAAACCCTATTGCTGGTGTGTGGAGTCATCTCTGCACCTAATTAGAGGATAGATCAAACATGTGACCAAAAACAGAATCTCCTTGCTGGGTGAACGCTGGAAACTGTTCTCTTTTTTTTTTCTTTTTGACTCATGCCCATCTCTACCTCTCAAGTCAGACAGTCAGTCAGACAAATATAAACCTTTGTCTCACAACTTCTGACAGCATGGAAACAGTCAGAAATGTAAGAATAGTCATACAGGACGTCATGTGTGAGAACATAGCCAAAGTTGGACAGGAAGGGAAAAATTTTTGTGAAAATATATTTATTGCCCATTGATTTAAAGACGACCATTTTATTCCACATGTCAGAAACCATTTATTTTACCATCTTCATTTTCTATCATACTTTGAACTCCACGTAAACTTACAATACCTTTCAGGTAGCACATACTGTTTTCCAATGAACTCCTAACATTTGCACCGATACACTACTGATAGTGACATCATTCTTTTTCCCATCATACACAGACTTTTTTCCACCTCACATGACTTTTCTCCAATGTTTGACTTTCATTATTTTCCACAACATTTCATCCGTACGTCATCTCTCAGCACATCTACAGTGTGACATAACGTTTTAACTCAGTCAAGAAGACAAAAGAAACAACAAGGCATTGGCCGAATGCAAACAAGAAACAACAAAACCAATTGTTTTGGCCATCTTAGCTAGATCCACTTCTTATGCAAAGTCTATGGTTGATACAGCGCAAGTTTTGATTGTTGTCAAGCTAAATGTACCAAAGAGTTCTGGATTTGTGCTTGAGACTTAAGTAGGCATCTGAGTGCAGGAATCTGGGCCAGGAGTCTCTTTCCATCAGCAGATAAACATGTCTTTGGGCCTCATCGAAGCATGAAAGGCTCGGCTCCTCCAAAAACTTCTTGATCTTCTCTTTTATGTGAAAGTCAACATTGATCTAGAGAGAGAAAACAAACACAAGACGTTGGCTCAAAAGCTGTGAGATATACAGGTAAAACATTATTTGTAAATCCTTGTTGGTTTGCGATGTGGATTTGTGATTTTTCAGCCAGCTAAAACACATCTCATCTCTCTCCCTCTGTGTTACAGCACAGTCTGATAGAGCCATGCATGTTGAAATGATCTCTAGCCCATGGTTTATAGTGCTTGGTATATGTGCCCTTTTATATTTATTAAATTGTGCATAAGTAGAGAGCCAGATTAAAACGGCTAGCCCTACAACCACTTTGAATCACATTTGTATGAAAGGTGCTTTTAGAGGCGCTGCTTGACAACAGTAAAGCAGGAAACTGCTTGGGACCCCATTAGGGGCTCACAAACTTAAACCAAAACAGTGACTCAAAAAGTACAAATTTTGCAACGACAGTTGGAAACCTCCCTAAGGGGGCCCCATCTGACAGCACTCACTCTGGTTGCCCTGCTGAGAATTGTATGCATTATTGCTGTGAAAACCAAAAGTTTGTCAATGAAAGTCAACAAAGAAAAATGAAGAGGAATTATCCGTCTTTACCGCCTTTAGGAGAGAGGGCCCCCCAATTGAGTTTTGCTCAGGACCCCACCAGAATCCCCTGGACGCCCCTGGACGCCCCTGGGACGTCCCGCCTTCTCTATGAATGACACAGAGGTCAATGGGGATACAAAGTGATACCACCTCTGTACCGCCATCGGAGGTAGAAACAGAGGCGTTACAGGGCGAGATGGGATCAGCAGAGTCAGCGGAGGAGAACAGCGCAGTGTGTGTGTGTTCATGTCTGACTGTGAGTGTATCAATCAATCCATCAATCTTTGTCTGTATAGTGCTAATTCAACAAATGTTGTCAAGTCACTTTACAAAAAGAACAGGTCTTAGACTTCCTCTTTGTTATAATATTTCCAAAGACCCAACATTAGTCTCCCGTTAGGACAGACCTTAGCAACGATTAGCAAAGAAAGTGTACAGTGAGCTCCTTCTGTGTCTTGTGCTTCCACAACAGCGTAACACAATGTGACTGAGACTGATAATATGATGCTGTTGTGAAATTAATGTGAATGTACAAAGACATAATGACGGCAGACCTTTGTTGCAGAACTGCATGGCTGTTGAGCGACTGTATAAATGCTAATAAGTTTAGGTTCTTGATTGACAAATTCACTACGTTTCTCAAAGTTCAGTAGCTAAACATATAAATATTTTATATAATTACAGATTCTCATCTGGATTCAGAGTTGATAAGATGCAAATCAACCGCACCCCACAGGATATATCTTCACTTCAGTGTGCCAACATTACAGCATACAGCACCAGAGACAGTGGAAGTTGTGAAACGTTGTAGTCATCCGTGTTTCTTCATCCACTTTGTCAGTCTTTAACTTATTCTTCTTCATAATTTGGGGCGCAATCTGATACTGATGCAACAATCCTTTCCCATGTTTTGCAATAGCAATTTGGGAGAAATAGAGAGTTTATTTTCACTGTCTACTGGCTCTAGATCAGTCCATCATGAACCATCAGCCCGGGTACACGTGGCACACTGACCTCTCTGCAGGCTGTTGGCTCAATGAACTCCTTGTAGATCTTCTCGGCTTTCCAGCGAAGGTCGTCCAATGAGGTGGTTGACCTGAAGTCTTCACATGCGAGCCAGAACTCAATGTTTTCTTCACTGAACTCCGACTGCAGGAACGCACGAAAAGCTGCTAAATATTCTGTACGGGTGGAAATAATTTATTTGAGTACTTTGTTTAAATTGTGTGTGCAATCAGAAACACGTTTTAAATTTTCTTTCAGTTATGATTGTGCATGATTAATTTTGGAGCTCTTTATTTTCATAAAACTAGCATCCCATTCTTTCAAAAAATAGATTATTCTTACTTTTATCCTGAAGCATTTTTTCCAGAGTTGAATGGAGTTGATGTTCAGTCCGCCAACTAATAAAACAAACAGATTTGAGTTTTCATTTTCATTACAATAAAAAGCTGTAAGAGTCAAATATCTAAATGGTACCATTAAGTTTACCTCACATTTGAAGGAGATGTGTCATGATAATTTCTTTGCACCACAAGGCACTGGACGTCTTTCTTATACCTCTTTCGATTCAGAACAATATCAATTCTGCAAAACAATAGACCGTTTTTTAAATGTAAGTAAGTTAGAAGACAGAAACATCTGATCAACTTAACTCAATTATTACTCAGTCATTAGTCTTACCTTCTGGGCCGCTTCACATTCTGCATTAGGTCTTTAAATTCATTAAACCGAATCCTTGAAAACAAATGTTTTGGCATTTTAACATCCCCGGTCCTCTGAGGAGCTGTGACAGTGTTTAGTGTTTTGCTTTGTCTGTAAAAAACCACCATTACCTCCAGCACTCGCCCTAAAACTGACAGGAAAGGAGCCCGCCTATGACGCCGGGGACCTGCTGGTACAGGTTCCTAAATGCCTTTTGGATACGCATTCAGCTGACTGCTGCAAAGACTCAGTCGGATAGATCTCTGACTCACAGCTGTAAAATTCCAGTGAGAGTTGTAGCAGAAGCTGAATGAAGAGGAAAACTCCCAGAGGTTGACTGAGGCCAGAGAACATGCCTTTGAGTCTTTAAAGGATTTTGATGCAGTATTTACAGTTAGGTATCTATCCCTTTAATTTCTCAGGTTGTATTCGGTTCAGATCATAGTGAAGGAGAACCTTAACAATCAGGTGTTCAAGTCATGAGTCATCAAGTCAAACATGCAGACCGTTTGATTTTTTTAATTTATATTTTATTGGAAATAAAGTTACTGATTAATTATTTGGAGTGAATCAACCTTTCTGCAAAAAAGTTTTATGTATTTGCATTAATTAAAAAAAAGGTAAAACAGATAATTACTGTCATCTTATGAATGGAAAGAAGTAAGGACATAAATAAAATATCCGACAACAGACAATAAGTGCCTGAGCACAGTAGCATTCTGGAGAAAGAACGTATCGCGCAGTAAACACACACACAGAGACTGATGATCACTCAGATGTGAGCTTCTGTCTTGGCAATACAAACGTTTTTTTTCCCCTGCTCGAGTCAAACGTCAAGAACACAGCGGTGGGTTGTAGTCAGTGTTCAGGAATAACAACTTTGTCCACCGCCAGGAGTAGTAATCTTCATCTTCCCAAAGCAACTGTTGAGTCTGTCACCTTCAGGGAACTAATTAGCAAAATAACTCAAATGGCTACAACGCTACATGTACATGAAATCTGTGAGTTGTTTCCTCTCACACTGCCACAGCAACACTTAATAATATGTACATTAATAGGATGAGTGTTGAAGCAAATTTCTCAAGTTACTAGTTACTTTTATTTTGTTTAACTTTTTGATTATAGTAAATATTTACTCGTTTTCTCTAACTCGCTCAATAACTTAGAATAGGTGATGACAAAAAAGTCATCCACAACAACCTTAAAAATGTTCCGAGGTTAAAAACTATGCCCTGAGTCACCTAAGGACAGTGTGTGAAAAAGCATGAAAGAAACTGGGACAACTGGGAAGTTACTACATGTACTGCACTTCTTTACTGAAACCAAGCAAACCAAAAACGTCGCACAGTTATGATAATCATACGCATTAATGCGCTCACACGTGCACCACCTCGATTGAGTATTCAAATCACAACTTCAAAGTTCCTCTAGTTGAATGTTCCATGAAACTGTAATGGAAATTCTGCCACTCTACAAGCTGCTGCTTGTGTGTATGTTTGGGTGGGGGCGGTGGTGAGGTGTGGGTGTGTGGTGCTTCTCAGGATTCCCTCAGGGGTCTCTTCATTGTGTATAGTGGTGTGTTTGTGGTTAAGAGAAAGCTGAAGTGGGTTGATTTCAAACTTTCCACACAAAGACTATACAGGGGTTGACTGCAGTTAGCGGGCGACGCCCTTAATATTGCACGCGTGACTGAAAGGTACTTTCAGCACAGATGTGAGAAAGTTGAGAGCATGCAAACTACTTTTGGTAACTCTGCTTTCTAAATGTAATCGTGATCAATCAGGCTCGTGGGAAAGGAAGTGTTCTTTGACATCTATGTTACGAAGAGTTCAAATGTGGTAGCAGCTACCCCTGATTGTATTAAGCTGATTACTTTGATGTTCTCCTGCAGCTCTACTTTTGTGGTTCACTCTCACAGCTCTTTTAAAAAATACCTGTAAAGGCAACTAGTTATTTTTAGTTAAAAACAATATCCCAGGATTTTTTGTATGTTTGGTTTTTTTTATGTTTGATTTTGTTTATTAAGCATTTGGAAGTTAAAGATAAACTCACTCTGAACTTCTATTTTCCAGATTGACAGCAACTTAACATCAAATGAAAAAAAAAAATTATAACGTTGCCCTATAGATGCAGTTTAGTATCTTTTGTAGCATTGCTTGATTTTAAACCTCAAATGGAAGCACGTGTTCGTCACCTAAATGGCATTCCTGCCTGTCACACCTCTGCCAGTGCCAGTGGGCCAGCCACAGACTCATCAGCTGGGAGCCCCCTTCATATACGTTTCGCACCTTTCAAAAAAAATCTCTGGTCGGTGGGTCGGCAGTATAGAGACATCGCCCTACTGCTCCCTGCGCCTCGCCCTAAGATCGTTGGTTCCCTCAATTTTAGTCTCTTCTTCTGAGCCACAGCCAGAAGCTCCCTTTTTGGACTTAAGCAAACCCACACACGACAGCTAAATTGCTACAGCTCTTAATAACATATGAAGCCTGATTTTGACCACTTTTGGTAACTCAGGAATCCCACTGTTTCAAAAAAAAAAAAAGTAAGCATTTTAAATTGTGAATCTGCCATTTGCAAACAGCACATCAAAACTATGAGGACAGAAAGTTTGACAAGTGTAGCAATGGTCGCTACCTAACAGGACTTGACAAATAATAAATTACCGACCTTAAACTTTAGTTTGGTTTTCTTTTAGCCTCTGTGACCACAAACCTCAGTTATCTTCTCACAAGGTTCATGCAACTAACCACATGACTGTATATGGCTTCCTTCTTATTTACTGAATGACTAAAACATGTTGGGGTTGATTTGCAACTCATTTCTAAACTTTTGAAATCCTTTAAACACCTCCACATTAAGAAACCAGACATCTTTTCTAATGTATCATATTGTGCTTATTTGGGATTACGCTATAGTGACAGTGAGGTGGATTACTCTGCACTTTGTGTGTTTGGTCTGATACCAATGCTTACATTCTTCCTAACAAGCCTCTTTTCCACATAGGAAATCACCTGCCTTAAGAATCATTCTGTTTTTGCCACTACTTGATGTTCTTTCTCAAAAAAATGAAATGCAAACGGAAAAAGGGGAGAGTCAGAGTTCAACCAACTTATCTTATTGATCCATATCTTTTGAGTCATAGGATGTTGTTTGCTTCATGTGTTTATTTTAGTTTCAAAATGTTCCAATGATTTCACACATTTCCTTGAGCAGTCTGGTTCAAAGCCTTTTGCTTTGGTAACTCACCTTTTTAAAAACAAGTTTTCAGATGCTCCTGCTTCAGATTGGTTAATTTAAGGAGCCTTGGTATGGTGTTTTCATTTGTCCCTGTCTTCTGAATAATCTTGGGACTCTTTTTTACCTAATGACCATGCAGGGGCTCATGACCCCAAGGTTGGACCATCGACTCCCGAGGTAGGGTTGGTGTAGTGATGTAGTTTGAGTCATGTCCATATGTAGATCTTTGTTGCGCCAGGATCCAAGATTTAGGATTGCCCATTTTATTGAAAAGACAAGCACAATAATTTCCTTGGACTGATTTGGGGTATTTCTATAGAGACAACACTAAACTTGTCCCTTGATTCGAAATGCCAAAAAGGGACAAATCAGGGAAAGTCAAATGTATTCATGGAGCATAAGAAAAGTGAAGAATTAAATAAGATTAAAAATGATTAAGAGCAAAGATAAAACCGTAAGCAGTATGATAATACGACTTTCTGGACAATTACAATTGTCAAACTAGGGCTGTAAGCAGCACAGAACTGGTTGGCCCTTGCACTTTTGTGCACGTTGGGGTTTGATGAATGTTGAGATTGTGGCAGAGCTCCCAAAGGGTGATTTCGTTCAAATGTGGAGGCCGTGAAACGCTAAAATTAGGCATTATTATGAAATTCAAATAAAAATGGCGGACTTCCTGTTGGGTTTAGATTATGGGTGCAAGAGGACTTTTTGTAGGTCTTGACTTGGTGAATATTTGGCATATCCAATTTCATACCTGTAGGTTACACCAACCTCTATGGGGAGCCCTTTTAAAAAAAAATTGTAATGGGCGCTTGAGCCATTTTGCCAAAGTCATCTGCAAAACCACCAAAATATCAAATGGTTTCGCAGACCTGATACACATGTCAGGTTTGGTGAGCCTCCAAAAATGGGATCAAAGAGGCGGTAGAAATGATATTAATTCCTTGCATTTGAAAAAAGGGTCCTTGCTCCAAGGTCAGTGCTCCGGCACAAATAAATGTTTAGAGGATGGGATGGGTTTCATAAAACTCAACTTCATTCAACAAAAAGTAAAACAAATTGAGCCATCCACCAATCCCAAAGTAAATTGAAAGCTATGAATCATTTATCAGTGTCTTATGGTTGCAACACTAGAAGATGCAAAGCAGGAAAATGCTACTGTAACGGCTGTCAGTGACACTTTAACCATTGTGGCACCGGAGCTTAGCCTTTTTTTTTTTCAGTGTGTCAAAACACCTTTACTAAAGTTGCTGACACTTGAATCAAAGATACATGAATGAGTAATTTTCTCACCACGCTGTGGGTTATTTTCTTCTTGTACAGCGGGTTGAAAACAGTTGATGACTGAGAGCTGAACAAGTATCACTGAAGAGATCAGAACAGTGTGTTTCTTGTTCTACTCAACTTCTCATATGACGCTCAGGTGACCTTGGGGTGACCCTCTGATTGACAGCTTTAAGAGGTCCTGGTTCAATGAGACAACAAGCTGGTTTGTTTTTTTATTAGCCTTTTTGTTTTTGGTAATTTGATGGAACATTTTCTCCAATATGTCAATATGATCGCAGAGATGATATCACTGAAATGTGTACGAACCGCTGTAATAGGTCAACTAATACTTAAAATACCTTAGAATGTATGCTTCTGTCTTTAAAGCTCCTGTGAGGAACTTTGGGGTAGTATCAATAAAGATACTGTTGATACTGCCTTGTACATGTATGACAAGATTTTCTGACCAAAAACATCATCCTCATCCTTCTCTATTTTTAATAGTCTAACTTGCAAACCACAATAAGTGTATGCCATCGGAAGTTTGAAAAGGCTGTTTCACCTGCATGACACCTACCCCACAGCAGGGGTGCCAGGCTGAAAAAAAATCAATCTAATCTCTGATGAACTTGTTCACTTTGGAAGGTCATAGAGGAACATCAACTTCAGTCTTTTTCATTACCAGCTAAAAGGCCCATACTAAATGGGGGCCAAGTTTCAGATCATGATGCAAACGTATGTTGGGACCGCTAAACGGCTT